AGCTCGGCCCCGACCCCCGACCGCAGCAGCGATAGGAACGGAGGAGCCGTTGCCCATGAAATAATTGTAGCGAAGAGGAGGAATCATTCCTCGCTCCATGAAGTTTCGCCTGGCGCCACCGACAGCTTATTGTCCCCGGCGCTAGTCTCCCCGGCCCCCTCGCCTCGCTCCTCCCCCCGTGGCGCTTGCCTTGTCTCATTTCGTGATATTTAAAAATCGACTCTTAATCAACTCTGTATTGTCTCTATCATGCACCGCCAGGTGAAGCGGCGGTGCCCCCCCCCCTTCCCCCGGCCACACCGTCACCCCTCGGGTTTCCTCTCTGGTCTCCCCGGCGGCACAGGGCGCTCTCGTTGAATCGTCTGTGTCAGTGGCGTGGCGTGCTTTGCGATGTATCGATTGATCTGCGATTTGAACCTATGGAAAAGGATCGACAGGCAGGGTGCTCGCAACGAACACTTAACAAATCGACTTTTTACTGCGGCCTCAGATGGGAAAATATCGATTGTCGATCAGTCATGCTACGCCACTCGTCCGTCTTATTTTCTGCCGCGCCATGGGAAAACCACGTGAGAGCATTCAAATGTTATGTATTGACATTTATGACCATTATCTTCTCTGTACAGGACAGGTAAGTTTACTCGCTTTGATTCATCTATGAGTTTTAGGCTATTATGATACCCCGATACGGCCGCCTTATTTAGGTGGCCAGACACTTTACCCAATTTTGTTTGGTCCAACAATTGTTTGGTCCGTTGCTGAAATTTGTCCAATAAAATTTTGGACCAATAGTTTTTTAACCAATAGTTAACTTAGTCCACGTTAGTTTTTGGTCCAAGGTAATATTTGGTCCAAGGCAATCGCCCGCAAGTAAGTACGGACATTGTTTTGCTGCTTATTGTATTCTTCGTAATTTCCAACTATCGTCTCAACGCGTCTTTGGTTTCGAACATTCGTTGAATTTATCGGGTCTCTAAGATGTCCATGCCCTCCTAGTAGTTGTGTGACAGCTGCTTCTGTATCTTGTTGTTCTTTCTGCAGCTCGCCAATAAACCGCCAAATGTTTAAGTGATGTGCGACAACTATTCTTTGGAAGCGAGAATGGAATGATTCAACTTTGTTATTCGTTCGCGCTTGTCTATATTTAACACAGATTGATACCTACACATTCCAGGTAGGCGGTGGGTATCTCGGAGGAGTTGCTCGTCTTCGACCTCTCGCGGGGCGGCCTCGAAGATTAGTTACTTCGAAATATTCCGCCAAGTCCAATACTCGCTCATCTTCGAAATCAGCTTTCCAGCATGTCATATGTTTCCATCAGATCTTCCAGAGGAATGAAAGGAAGAGCCATAAGATATCTCACTTGATTACGTATAGTTGGGTCCTCTAGGTCGAAGAAGGGTATTCTGAGACCTCGGTTCACTATGCGTTCTTAAAAATGTTCTGAGTAAAATGAAAGAGGCATCCACGAATTGATATTCCATCAAATGATCCACGAAGTGCATTCAGATTCGCTAATTCGAAGTCGCTCATGGAAATTTGGGGATTTAGTGTTAATTGAAAATCTTCGGCAAGGAGCCGTAGTTGTCGGTAAATTTCTCTGTAAGTTTCTTCATCTTTTTGCTGTGTAAGACAGAATACAACAGGGAAAACAAAGTTCATGAAAATGGCATGAACAGTAAATAATTGCGCAAATTGATTCGAAGTTGTTTTGAAGGTGCCATCGGTGAAAATGGTTGGACTGTTACACAACATATTAAGGTTCCTTTCAGTGGAAAAAATAAGTATCCGTCGAGGCTGGTTCGTACCAGAATCATGAAGCAAGAATGGTCCCCCTCCGAGAGTTCGTGTGTGCTTGTGGCTTACATAGAACGTGGATTAAAAAAGGGTGGGTTAAATTTTTAATTGGATAATAGAATTTGGCCAAACTATACCTTGGATAAAATTTGTTGGCCCAATTAGGTATTGGGTAAAAGAAATTGGGTAAAGTGTCTAGCCACGGAAGCAAACTCTCCCATTGATCGAAATGCTTCAAAAATGTATGCCAACCCTTGCCCCTTTCACGAGAAATTATTCCAGATTTCTGGTAACAACCCTCTTCCTCTCTTTCTGGATCAATCCAATTTTTAGTATTTTTCGAATTATCACGTTCGTTGGACTAAAATTAGTTCGGAGGTTTTTTTTTTACATAAGATATTTCATGTTTATTTTATGAATTTCTTGTAGAGGGATCAACTTTGCTTGGAATTGCCATCTTGTTTGTTTGCTAACGGCCGTAAGCGCGCCGTATCAGCCTATTTTTCGCGACCCCTGAAAAACCGACACCAGGGGATCCAGGGTTAAACGGCAAGACTGCAGGAGCATGCACTATAGCTTAAAATAAGAATTTTTTGTTGCATAAAGTTTTTTTCCAGAAGTACTCCCAGCCGGAGCTACAACCCCCCCCCCCCCAAAAAAAAAAAAAAAAANAAAAAATAAATAAATCGTTTTTCCTGAATTTTGGCAACGGGTGGGAACCAAATCTCATGACAATTTGTACTCCCCTGTACTTTTATGCCTTGAATTCATAAATGATCTAAAAAAAATCGATATCTCAATTGGACGTATTTCTGTCAACGGAGCTAAGCGCCATTGGGGGAGAAAGGGAGGGGGGGGGCTTGGATTGGCGGCGGAATCGGGCGTCGGGCTCACTCCGTCCTATACTCGCAATGCTTTTCCATGGCGCTTAGTTCCGTATGACAGAACGCGCTATCCGGCATTCTAATTTCCTCAAAAAGAACTAAAATTGGCGCTTAGTTCCGTTTGACAGAAATACGTCCAATTTAAAGAGGAGATGTGGGGTTGTCTCGGCTCCTGCAGTCTGGCCGTTTAACCCTGGATCACCCTGTATATCGACGATGTAAGTCAGCAATCACATAACTCGGTTTGCGACGTCGCAGACTTCCTGTCGTAATTTATTTTTTAAACGGAAATTCTTTAAGACTGCTGTGATTTTTCTTCTCTGTGCGAAGAAAATTCCGCAAAAACTTCAAGGAATGATGTCAGTTTGTTAAATAACGTATAGGCGGAGATTTTCAGACAACGCAAATGAGATATGTGATTGCCGACTTAAACCGTCAATATGTACTTCAGTTACCGCTATTTTTTTTTATCGGAAGAGTCTACATCGGACCCAGTGTGGATACTCTCTTTTCACAGAGGAACTCTGCGCCTCCCCAACGGCGCCCCTGATGACTCCAGCTCAAACGCCACAGACCGACGATGATGAGTGCGGTCGTCACGGGCCACGGGGCCACCTGTGGACTGCGCAGCCGCGGCGCCGCTTCCCGACGCGGGAGGAAGGGCGTCGCCGGCAACCGGCGCGTCGTCCCTGCGCGTGTATCATTATTAAAATTAGAGACCCCGGCCCCCTCCTCCCCCCCCCGCCCGGGGCCGGGGAGTCGCAGACGCGGCCTCCTGTTATTACCCGTCCAGTATCATTTGAGCAACACTGCCAAACCCCCACGAAACCCCGATCGAATCGCACCGCACTGTCGCGTTGAGGAAGAACGCCGTATGAACATTCGAGAGTTGCCAGATTTCCCTCAATAAAACGCGGATTTTTGACGATATTTATGCGTATTTTTCTTTTAAATTTTCAGACATTTTAGATTAAATTTCGTACAAAATAGTCTGGAAATTTTGGGGGAAAAAATATTCACAATTTTTCCGGTAAATTCGGTTTTTATCGAAGGAAACTCGGCAACGTCCGAAGGCTCATACGGCGTTCTCCCTTAGTTCGACAGAATAGAAAATGTGTGATCTGACAACCGAGCTTTCGAGTTTCCACGACGTCGCGCAGAACCGCGGATCCGGACGGCGGGTCGCCGGGGGAGTTAGGCGGTTTTTGACGCCCCCGAGTGGCGCTACGGAGTCGGAGCCGGGATCGGCGACCGGCGAAATTACGCCGTATCCTGTAAATTGCCGGGGTCTTTTCGGCTGGGCACTCGCCACCTCCTTACCCCCCCCCCCCCCCCCCNTTCGACCGCTCGTGAGCCGACGGGATCACCGGTTGCGGTCACCCGCACGGAACCAAGTCTCGTTGCCGGATTTCCGGGGATCAGCCGGCTGATTATTGACATCGATGGACAAAGCGGTAGACAAGGAAGACGAAGGGTAAATGGAGCGATCCTATTGGTGAAAAAAGGGACTTGCTATGGACTACGGTGGAATTGATGGATTATGGGGATGACCATCCCCGTTCCTGTTGCCCAGTCCGCGAGCGGGCAGATTATTGAAATTGATAGACAAAGCGATAGACAAAGGAGACACATGGAGTATGGAGCGATCCTATTGGTTGAAACGGGTAGTTTTTATAGACCATGGGGCAAAATGATGAACTAACTGTTGGGTCTCTCGTGAGTTGCCATTATAGTTAGTCTGTTACTTGCCTCTTTTGTCCATTGCAACCACCCGCTTCCAACGATAGGATCGCTTTTTTCCAGATGGTCAACTTTGATTATAGCTTTGTCTAGCAATTTCAATAAGCAGCCCGCTGGCCGATGTTTTTGTCCAGTCCATGAACTGGGCAGCCAGCTCGCGGACTAAAGTCTGAAAATTACACCAACGGTCCGGGCCAATCGTTAATTTTAGCTGCAATCCATACACTAGCTGAATCCCTGCTGACCGATTTCTGACGAATATCTCTCGAGATTTTTAACGATAAAAAAGTATTGAAATGAAAACCAATATACTCTGTAAAAATGTACAGTTTGCGACAAATTAATTCTTAGTTATATACTAAATATAACTAGAAAAATATAAATAGAACTAAAATATAAATAGAACAAAATGTAACAATTTTGACTGTTCTCTAATTTTGTGTTTGAGTGCAGTTTGCATGCTCAAGCCCCTGAAAAATATGAGATATTTCACAGCCTCGTGAAATTTCATGAAATATTTCACTGATTCCAATCTTTCATTTCTTCCCTACGTTTCATGCCATCCTGCTCTCTCAGGGGGCAGAGAAGAATATGTAGAATGAAATATCAGGAGTAGAGCTAGAAGTTGAAGTGGTCGATGAGGGGATAATCCAATACTGCGGACATACGGGAAATGAGAGTTATACCAAATTGGTCGTATTATTTGTGAGGATTCAATACTCATACAAAGGTAATTATTTCCCCTCTATCTTCGTTGGGATCACCCGCCATCCGCTCATTTCAATGATTTTGGGTTTTTACAACGGCGCCACATGCTAGTGCGACAATCCCACTAACTCACTATACCCAACCTACTCTGAGGAAATAGAAAAATAGGTTCTGTTCTGTTTAATGGGGAGAGCTCATTTCATCGCTCGTCTGTCGGAAGGGCGTAGCCGCGCCTCGAGATGAGTCTTGCGGGGTGACTATTGAAATTGATATAGACATAGCAATAGACAAACGAAACAAAGGGTAAATGAAAGGATCCTATAAATAGAAGTTGCAATGGACAGAGGAGGTAAATAATAGACTAACTAAGGCCAACCGAAGAGAAAAAAATTGGAAAATGAACCTTCATTTTGCGTCTCTAGGGTGGCTGTAATGAACAAAGGAGTTATATACTGCTGTGCTGAGGAAAAACGCCGTATGAGCCCTCGGACGTTGCCATATTTCCTTCAAGATAAACCAAATTTACTGAGAAAATTGTGAATGTTCTTCCTCAAAATTTTCAGGCAATTTTGCTCACGATTTAATCTAAAATATCTGAAAATCGCAAGGAAAAATATGCATAACTTTCCTCAAAAATATATGTTTTATTCGGGGAAATTTGGCAACTCTCGAATGTTCATACGGCGTTTTTCCTCAGCACGGCAGAATCTTAGGCCAACTAACGGCAACCCACGAGAGACCCTGTAGTTAGTCCATCATTTTCCCCTATAGTTTATGACAACCACCCGTTTCAACCAATAGAATCGCTCCATTTTCTCTTCTTTTTTTTTGTCTGCAGCTTTGTCTATCAATATCCAATAATCAGCCCGCTGGCGTCCGCGTAACCTGTAACCCCTAGGATTCCAACAAAAATGTCAAAGTATCCCTGGTAAAGATTGGCAGTAGAATCTGTGTTCCAAAATACCATGGACCTACAGCTGGCTGTAAGATTTCCAATAGCTTCTATAACCGGCAACGCAATCTCTTATAGCCTTTTATAGCCGATGGCGATTAAGCAGCAGCCTGGCGATATAGTGTCTGCTAAACGTTACTAATTACGGATGCTAGGACTTCGTGAGTTTTTGGACTACCGCTCTCTTTTTGGGCCGTAGTATCTTTATTTATTTTTAGAGGACAGCTCCGTACTTTTGAAGGATGCCTACCATTCCTAATATGCTGAAGCGCCTTCAATTTCGTATGATAATGTGCAATACATCTGGTGTGAAATAGTTGCTTCAAGCGCCGTGGTACGCTGCGGCGCGGCGCGGCGGGCGGGCGGGTGGGCAGCCAGCGCGAGACGCGCATTGGCGCCTTCAAACCTAACAGGGATACTTCACGCATTGCGCAATGCGTGAAGTATCCCTGTTAGGTTTGTAGGCGCCAGTCCGATGCCGCGCGCCGCTCCGCTTTGTGTTAGGCTATAATATTTAATCTCGTGGAGGCAGCGTTTTTCAACACATGACTTTGAAATGTTTGCACACTCTGTATGGATTATTCTCATTTTAATTGATGAAAAAAAGTACGTAGTAAAGGAAAATATAATGTGCGTTTTGTAAATATTCAGGTGACTCCGTACAAACTTAAGGATTTACAAAGCACACGAATTGCTACAAAATTTCTT